GCAACTAAACCTTTAACGTAAACCACAAACTGAAATCTTCCATCGCCTCTAACAATCTCCTGTCTTATTTGAGGGACTGAATAAAATCTATTATATACATATAAATAATTTATTTGCTTGATTTTATTATGATGACCACATTGTTAACTCAGTACATATTTAATAATACAGCTATTACCTATAAAGCTTAGTTTCTACTTTTTTTTTACTGTAACTTTATATAGCTTGTGCCAATTTTGGCAGCACCCTCGTATCTTTAATAATTTAATATATGGTGTCTTGCATCTGAATCTCTACACCACCTTGTCAGATTCTTTGAAATCTGGAAACAGTGAAGCTGCTTTCCCAGTTCTCCTCCAGGTTTTGGGTGAATTAATTTACTATTTTTATTTTTTTTTTTACCTCCAGACTTCTTCTGACCTGTTGTTAAGGTGCTGCTTCTTAAGGAAATTGCTGACTGGAAAAATATACCTTATGACCGTTCTGGAGACTAAGAATTGGATGGTTTCCCATGAAATATATTTTATCTTAAATAGAAATACTGTGCCTGAACTCAAAAATCAATTTTGTAGCAAGGCATACACAAGGAAGAGTTACTGAAAATAGCTTGATTTTTGTCATTCCACAGAAATCAAGTAGGTTTCTTGATAATGATTGTTTGGTAATGAGTGTGATCTTTCAGTATTATGCTAAATTTTAGATAAGTAGAACACTTTAACAGGAAAGCAAAGCTTCAAAAGTGAATGGGAGCAGGTTTCTTAAAGGAATTATGAAAGCAGAAGGGCCAACATATCACAAAGTCACCTAAGGCAAGAGACTGTCTTTCCTAAACACTTAAAACCTCCTTGTAAATGCTAGCATTGATTATAAGGAATGGACTGCTACCAGAATAAAACTGCCTAGGGATAAACTTCACTTTAAATCTTTCATTTTTCCCTTAAAACATTTTTAATAAGGGTAACACATGCATGAGTTTCAAGAATGCCAAGCATCTGTAGCTCTCCATATCCTGAGGACCATTTCCACTTTAGAATGAGATTTTTCAATCAAATCTAAAACTTTTAAAATACAGCGGGATTCATTGATTCTGTTTTGGTGCCCCAGATATTTTGAAAAATTACACACACACACACACACAAAAAAAAATTAGGTCTAAAATAGAAACAAAACTCAAAACTTCAAAAGTACTTATAAAACTCTACCATCCAAATTATGGTTCAGAGTGTTTAAAACAACTTTTCATTCTGCTTTTTGGAAAGTTGACCAGGTTCCAAGAAGTCCTAGGAGCCAGGAGTTCTAGGAGGCCTCCCAGAAAATCCTAAAAGCTGGTTTAGAGCTGATAAGCCCTCTTTCTCTGGCTGCAGGTCACACAGCAGATTTTCAGATATCTGGGCAGATGACATGGAAGACACTTTAGAGGGTTTGAAATTTGTATTATTTCTATCATATTTATGTGCAAATGGGTGGATGTCTGTGAACAGCTTTAGTTTTAAAATACAGGCATTTTCCAGAAGAAAAATGCTTCTTGTAAGAATCTGCACTGTGTTCAGGATTCCCTTTTTCTAATCAATGCCAGTACAATCCAGTTAATAGGACTAAAAGTGAAATGGAGTCATGATGGGATTATTGACATTCTGTTTTGCAAACACTCACAGAATGTCTAAATCCTGACTGGTGAATTGCTGACACAAACTGTAAGCTTCTCCAGGAAAATATGAGATGCCAGTGCTGGCCTGGCATTGTGAAGCTGCGGCTCCTGTGGTGGGTCTGTATTGCTCTTTCACTCTTCTCAGAGGTGCAGGCAGCTTTTTGCCACTAGCATGCTCAGAAATTGTTCTTCCTATGTGATGTGATGATATGGTGCCCAAATGAAAAAATTAAAAATGAGATGATTTATGTGCATTTTGAAACATTTGAAGCAAAGTAGTTCCCTCAAAACTTGATGTTGCTGTTTCAGTAAGATGTGTTCCGTATTGTTTTTCATCTCTGAACTCTGGAGCATCTCACAGGGCAAAATAAATGCCATCATTTTTATCTGACTTGAGTGAGAGGGAAACTGAGGTAAGAGTGATTAACTAATTTACACTTCAGCTCAACAGATTAGCAGAATACAAGGCTGAACCTTCAGCCAGGTTCCCTCCATCCTCGACCACAATAATAGGAACTACCTCAGTGCTCAGATCATCCCTCTCATGTGAATATGAGTAATACTACTGAAAATTCTCACACGTCTTAGATAAAAATAATGTATTTATTCATGTTTTTAAACAGCATTGTGAATGTGTGGGCCTTCTCACTATGTGCATTTTTCATTAATATCCTACCACAAGATCTTGTTGGCAGGCATGTCGCTGTAGCAGACAGTTGGATGTTTAATTTTGAGGAATCTCTAAGTAAATATTTGATGTGCAGCAAGTAGTTTGAATTTATGTGTACATCTGTCCAGTTAAGGAAAACCCTGTCCCTTTGCTCTTCACTCCACCAGACCACGTGGTTACTTCCAAAAAATGGAAGTAACAGGTAGCATAAGTGAGCAGTATTCACAATAAAATTGTAGTCCAGGAAGTGACTGTAGGCAGTTATTTAGAGAAGTTCATGAAACAGTTTGTGTTATGGATATTCATATTCATTTTGCACAGACAACAAGAGAAAAATACTCTCCTGAATTCTGATCAGAAAAACGTTTTCTGTAAATGTGTCTTTTTGTCAAGTAAACAATTTGATGTTGCTGCATGTTTGAGACTTGCTCAGTCAGCCCGAGCAGTGCAACCAGTCCACACTAATTCCATTTGTGGGCTGGGTGCAGCTTTCCTTCCCTGCTTTTGACCTTGTCCCTGCAATGGGGAGCTGGAATCTTGGGGCACCGCGGGCAGGTTCCTCCCTGCTTGCTGTGCTGAGGCTCTCCGTGGGCAGGGATGGTGCTGGTGAAGAACAGAGGGCTGGGTACAGCCCAGGACTGCCCCAGCCTTGTCCTGTCCCAGCTCTGTCCTGCCCCAGCTCTGTCTTGTCCCAGCTCTGTCCTGTCCCTGTCCCAGCCTGTCCTACCCCAGCTGTGTCCTGCCCCAGCGTCCTGTCCTGTCCCAGCCCTGTCCTGTCCCTGTCCTGTCCTGCCCCTATCCCAGCCTGTCCTACCCCAGCCCTGTCCTGTCCCAGCCCTGTCCTGCCCCAGCTCTGTCCTTGTCCCTGCCCTGTCCTGTCCCAGCCCTGCCCCTGTCCCAGCCCTGTCCTGTCCCAGCCCCAGCTCCCTGTGCTGCAGGTGGGAGCAGCTTCTCCTCCTCCCCGGTCGCACTGGCAAGCTCTGTCTACACCATTACTTTTTCCTATTAGTACCAGTAAGTCCCAATGGAGAAGCAATTAGGGAACCACAATAAATTAGATGATTTCCCCTCTTAGCAAAAGTGCTATAAACCTGTTGTTTTCTCTGGTTTGTGCAGGGCTGCTTTTGTCAAGTCATAGCACATTGTTGCTTAACCCAGTGCCTTTAGCTGTTGGTTTCATTATCATAAGCTTATTCATATGCTTCTAGCTTTCTCTTTTTGTGTATAATGAGTAATTAGTGTAATTTAATATGTCATCATTGTTGCTTTTTCCAGCACAGAATAATAATAAAAATCCTGTATAAATGTAAAGTTAATCACACTGTAACTTCTCTGACACTTCTCTATGTCTCCACATAAATCCTCAATAGTGGTCTGAGGCTTGATAAATGACACTTTTTAAAAACCCTGTGCATACTTTTTCATAATAATTTTAAGGCCAAAATGGTATCATCAGAGGTTCAGCATATGCAGATATTTGGGATATCATAGAGTAAAATATGTCTTTTTCAGAAGCATGAGATAAAGCCAATTATAACAGTTTTAGTGAATTAGACAGTGGAAACAATCTCAGGATGAGTTCTTGATGTTTAGCTCAGTTAATACCAATTAAAGCCTTCATAATAATTTAAAATTCTAATGTAGAAATGTTCTGTTGCTATTTGTTCTTTTTTTCTTGAGTACTTTTAATGAGCAGCATCGCCTAGATTGAATACTTACTTTAAAAAGGATGTTTCTGCATTTTTACTGTTAAAATCTGAAAACCTTCCTCAAGTATACATGGTATAAAGAAAATGGTGTACACAAGTCTTTGTCTTTTTATTTAAGCATCCAAATAACATCACAGACTACTCATGCCTTTCTTCCATATTTAATGCGTGGTCACTAGATGCTTCTCATTTTAGTTTGCTGATCTCTGTTACCCCTTTTATCTCTCACATGTGTATTTCTCCCAGCACATGGATGTATATTGATGTCATGTTTGATTAAATGGTTGTGAAGATCATTGTTTTACTTCTGAAATAGGTAGAGCACATGTGCTATGAGCAAACTGTGGTAATCTATGTAAATTATGTGCACAGAGCCATACTCTGCCCTTGGGGGAAATGCAAATTAGAACATTTTGTAGATTGTTTGTTTTTAAATACATACACTTTTCACATCAAGGCTCAGGACAGACTCCCTGTTTATTTTCCCATTGCTCATCATTTGTTATTCCTTGTAAATATCTCAGTCTTTAATGATGAGTTTGCTACTTTGGCAGGAAAAAAAATGCTTGATGAGTGAAGTCCTCAGAATACAATGTTTGGTGTATTTTATAGCTCTGCTGTAGGGGATTCATCTGCTTGTAAAAGGGTATATAACACACGACTCAAAGCCATTATAGTGATCTGACAGTCTTCATTCATTTTCTCCCAGTGTTGTCTTGTTTTCTTCTTTCACATTAGTGTTTGTAATATTTTTTAATCCTGCATGACTAAAACATAGTTAACTGATTTTCCTTATATGAAGCAAGAAAAACATATTCCTAAACTGTGTTGTTTACTGCACTTGCAGTTCTCTGCAGATGTAATTTATTTTAATAATAAAATTATTTTTTATACTCTTTAAGTACCCTTTCGGAGAAATGTTTTAATGTAAGTTGTCTGATTCTATTTTAAGTGAAGGAGAAAACCTGGTAGAGGTTGTCTCTTTAAATCAGATCTGCAGTGTTGATGGACCCTCTAGCAGGCACGGTAAGAACCATTCTCACCTCTGCAGCAGGGAGCTTGACCATATAGACTCTCACATTCAATCAAAACGTTTTCCCTTTTAATATGCACTGTACCGATCCTATTCCCATGGTTACAGCCCGTGCTTCTTTGGTTGCTTCCAGTCTGTTGGAAAAGGAAGGCAGCATACATTTCTTGTACAGGAGTTTAAAACATCATGAAAGCAACCCTGTTGTGATTTGCATTTTAAATGTTTCTTTTTTTTTCTCATTGTACAGAACGCTGTAGCAGTAGCTTCAGTTCATTTGCCACAGTCTGTCTTCTCTCAGTCTTCAGCCTGGCAATCTGTTGATAACTCTACTTGCAAGCTACAGTTTATTGTCTTTCGGAATGGAAAACTCTTTCCCAGCACAGGAAACTCATCAAATCTCGCAGATGATGGGAAACGTAGGACGGTTGCCACACCAGCTGTTTTTGCTAAAATAGGTGAGAAGCTGTTATGCGTTATTTTCTTTAATCTAAGTGCTACGGTATACTTGATTGTGTAGAGAATAGAGGGGCAGAGTATGCAGTGTGCTGAGAGGCTGGAAACAGTCTCTGTCTTTAGTACAATGTTTGCAATTGTTCCTATCTGCACGATTTTATTCACATCGTCCTGCAAATAAAGAAATGTCCCTGCGCTACAATTAGAATGCAAATTCTGGGCTGCTGTTCGGTGGCTGTGTTGTTACAGATGCTTGCTTCTTAAAGCTATCGGAAGGAACCTTCTTTTACTCTTTACAATTGCAATGTTAATGTCCTAGACACAGGTAAAAATAAGGCTTTTGGAGTGGGAGTAGTGCCCTGTTGCATGTATCAATAGTCAGCAGTATACTTTCTGATGCGAAGGATGTAAAACAGGTGTTGTTAAAGACTTTTGTCCAAATAACATACATTGTTTGTGCTAGTGAGTCATTATTTTGATTAATTACTCACCCCTGCAATTTTGCTAATTCTGTCTGATACTGAGTAGTGCTCTCATTTCTATTAACATTTTTAAATGTTTGAATGTGACTTTCAAAGTGCAGAATTGTCTCAGCTGTTAATCATGCCGTGAAACTGAGCTGTTTCTGCAGTTACATGGGCAACAGTGTAATACTGGTCATAACTGAAGAATATGAAACAATAAAAAAGATCTCTTATGTGGGGAATGATTAGATCATTTTGTCACAATATGTGATTGAAATGTTCAGATTTATTTATACCTTTGCAAACTTCTCTGATGTGAGCACTACGTTTGATTTTAGCCATTAAGATTTTACCTCCACTGGCTTTTTTCCCCGTAGTTTAGTGTATCTGATCTCTTTACAGAGCATTCATCACTAAAGGGTTTTCCACTCCATCTCTCTGATTCAGTTTGTTCCTTTTGCAGATGGGTGCAGTTTTGGAAACCTCACCAGCCCTCTTACTATAGGACTGAGGCACTTTGCACGGGGTATAGACCCCATTGCAGCCTTCTGGGATTTTGACCTTCTAGATGGACATGGAGGCTGGTGGGGAGAAGGGTGCCACATAATTAGTTCTGCAGGCAATATTACCACCATTCAGAGTACACACTTCAGTAACTTTGCAGTGCTAATGGTAAGTATATGACTTAGCAAATATACCTGTGTTTTTCTCTCTCTTTTGCCATACATTTATGTTCTTTATACGTGCATCTGTTTCATTCTGACTTGTCAGTAGCCGACCTTCTAGGTTTTTATAATGTTTAGTACAAAACAGTCTAAAAGAAAGTAAGTTACTTAACTGCTAGTAAGTGAATAAACCTGGTGGTCAGTTTTAATATCCTGAGGCAGGCCTAATCAGAAATGACATTAACTTCAGTCTTATAAATGAAAGTTCCATCAAGGAATGATTAGTACATAATGGTTATAAATTATAGGACAGGGTTTAAAAATGTATACTCCTGTGTGCTTTTACATCAGCACATCTCGGAGGCTGGTCTGCTTTTGTTCCTGCCCTGCACTGTGTTGATCATACTAATTAGTTGCAGGCATACCGCAATGTTGAATCATTTAATAAATGGAGAGGAATAACATCTTCTGCTCTTTTAACTATGGACTGAGCTACCCTTGTTGATTCTGTAGGAGTTTTGGTTTGTACACCAATGCTGACAGCCTACTTAGGAAATTGCTGTTTGTGAAGAAAAATATTCCTGTGCAGTGCTAACACATCAGCTGCTTTGCTCTGTTCTCAGGCACACTTACACTTCCCATTGCAGTTATTTAACTAACCTGCTTAACAGAAAGTTATCTTCATGAAAGAAAAAATGTTATGCATACAATAATGAACTGTAATTATTCAGGTACTAAAGGAAAGCAAACTAGAAATTGTAAGGTTTCTAAGCTTTAGAGAATGTTTGCACCCTTAAAAATATTTCTTATAAACCAGTTGTAAAAAGATTTGGAATGTGTCCTTTTAATACTAGATTGCTCTTGAATGCTGATGCATGATTGTGCTGTAGATGCTGCTTGTGTGCATTACAGAAATGTTTATAGTTGAGTAAATAATGTATTGTGTGTATGTGTAAGGGACAGCAAACACAGGCGACAGGAATTGCGAGGACGTGTGCAGAGAATACCAATCTGCTGCTGTCAGATGGAGCCCAGATGGCAGCCAATCATAGCACAAAGCTGTGGTGCCCACGAGTTAAATGCAGATATTATCGTCCACTTTGTAAGAACTGATTTCCCTGAGACTTAGTTGAACATTTTTTCACCCATTATAGAATTGTTCAGAATTTAAGAGCTCTTCCTCAGATTTGATGACATCAAATATACCTCATTTTCTACAGGTCCTGTGAGTTCCCTTTTCCCCCAGCCTCTTGTTTCCCAGAATGTGAATCATAATTCTGCTTTGAGGATGTTTTTCTAAATTAATTAAAGCAAGCACCTGTTGACTTTGCAGGTGCCACACCCAAAATGGCTTCCTCCTTCTTCAACTGCTTGAGTTCAGCCTGTCGTTCTTAAACTTTGAGTAGTCACTAAATGTTAATTAACTGTTTTCAAGCAACCAGTTCCGTAGTTTCTTTTTGTTTGGAAACTTGAATACTGACACAAGGGCTGCAGTTAATTTTTGGTTTGTAAAGCCCATTCATCACTGGTAAGATGTAGGAGATGGGTTTCTCTACAACTATGAAGGCAACTGAGGCACTTTTTACTGGAGATTTTGTATCTGGTATGTGATTTTGCTTTAGGTCTTGTGTTTGGTTATGAGGATTTGACTTTGGTTTATTTCATGTGTGCATCTTCCAGTTTTATCTGTGCAAGACAAGAAAGTAGAATCTTAGACTCACCCTTGCTTTGCAATTTCTGTGGTAGCAAACAATGGGATATGTTTCTTAGCTCATGTTTCACAGCAGCTTTTAAGGAAAAAGATGACAAGTAATTTTAAAACATACATATATAAATATGTACACACACAAATAAGTTTTCCAGCCACTGTCTTTCTAAATAGATAACGGAAAATTTTTGTAGCTTCATTATATTCAAACATTTTCATTCAAGTATTATTTCTTAATCACTGTTTTGTGGTGTAAAGTCAAAGATTATTTTATTTCATAGAAACTTTTCTTTTCTGGGCAGTTCAATTTGCATACCAGAAATGAAAAATACTTCATTGTTCGGCATCATTATTAATCTATAAAATGAAAAGTATAAGGTACCTATGTGTATCTTATTAATTCATATCTAAATGCCTAATATATTCTAAAATACTAACAAACCATGAGCAAATTCAAAATACCTGGCCTATGGTGTAGAGCTAATGAAATTAGCTACAATATCATGATACATGTCATCAATGTGTGATTCTCTAATCTGTTAAACAACAAAAATTCATAATTGATTATTATGGTTTGGGGTAACTGCAGAAAACTGAAGTAGTAACTGTAAACTAAAAAGCAGCACTGAAGCTTTACCTTACCATCAGAATTGTGTACATCCTGCTGTAGATTGAGTTGAAACAGAAGCCTCAGTCAATCTAGCTATCCATTACTTACTCTGATTTATCACCTTTTTAAACAGTAAGACAAGGTTTCATAAGGTGCTTTCATAGAAGTTATTTATGCCTAAGTAACGTAAAAGGGTTAAAATAAAGGGTTTTTAGAGTCCTTTTTTTAGAAAGGCAGCAATCAAGGATTTATCAACTACGATTGATAATTAATAAGCATGAGCATACTTCAAGTGAGAGGAGTCATGTAGAGCCATTTGATTTCTCTCTGTGACAGTTGTTCAAGTGATGTCAATGAGAAAGAAAGTACAGTTTGGAGGTTGGCTTGGAAAGGAGCTACAAGCTCCTTCCTTCACGTGGCCTCACACTTTCACTTTGCTCGAGGTTGGGTTGGCGAATAGGAATAGAGTCAGACGTAAAGGATCATTATCTTTTTCTGATCAGGTTTTGAGCAGTATGTCCTAGAGGTGGGAGTAAAATACTGTGAACTTACTCCCATGTTCTACTCCTGCCTTTTACTTCATGTACTGTGTGTTTAGACTAGTCCTCTATTTTGTCTTTTCCTCTGTTATCTATAGGAGGAAGAGAGCTGGTAACACTCTAGTTTCTTTTGGAGGTGTCCAAAGCCCTCTAGGGTCCTGAACTCTGCAATATGAGTTTCTATTTTAGAGTAAAATCATGAATTTATATACTTTGAAGATTTGGTATATCTAATGATAAGTATTTGCTTCTTAAATACTGTGTATTTATGTCAAAATTTGCTAGATATGTTTTGGCATACATTGTCCTCTGTTCTTCCTTTCATTTTTCTTAGAACACAATAGAAATTCAATAGTGATGGATATTACTGTAATTGTATACAACATTTCCTTTCCCCACTTAGACTGCTTTGTCAATAGTAATTTCCTCAAATCTGCCAAAGAAACACAAATAAAATTCTTAAATCTAACTATGATACTTCCCAATTAACATGAAATGGATTAATAAATATTCTTAGCACTTCCAATTGTAATCCTAAAAGCAGGTTAAATCAACATAAAATCATAAGCAGCTCCTTTCCTGTTTTGTCACAATTTGTCATATTATTCCAGTCAACATAGGTGTGGGTTTTGTTGGATTTTTGGGTTTGGTTTTTGTGCATAAGGAGTAATTATTTGCAAAAGTAGCATACATTCAGCGGATGCTTATGAGGTAATTAGGGCTGAGGAGATTCAGCTGACAAAACCAGAGCATATTTGAAACTGTTCTGGAAGCAAACCTTGGAAAACTGTGTGAATGAAAAACTGAGAAGAGGCAGGATTGTAGGAATGGATCACAGTAAGAGTTAGGGCATTTCTCTCTTGTTTTGCAAGCATTCCCCCAATCTTTGAAGTCTTTCCAATCTGGTATGAAAAAAGCTACTTTTTCAATATTTTCATTGTTATTGGAGACAATTGAAGAATTTCTTAAGCCTGTTCACAAAGTGCAGTTCTGAAAACAGAATTCTAAACTTCCACCTCTCAGGTCTTCTCCAAATTAAGCAGCCTGTCTAAGCCTTTTGAGAAATAAATTCATGAGTCGGGGAAGTATTACAGAGATGTCATTTCGAAGGTTGACATAATTACAGTGTTTGACATTTTCCCCATAGAGAACACAGGGTTTTCTCATAACAGGCTGTGGAAACATTGTTCTGTACTTTGAAAAATCAGACTGCCTATTAACAAGAGGTTCAAGAACAAAGTCTTTTTTCATGTTTAAACACCAAGTTTAAACACCCACAGGATAGACTTTAGCAGAGTTTATGCACCAAAGATTGTGAAAGTGATCCAGAAAGTTTACCTGCTGTATGGAAAATTCACATTTACTGTAGTGGGAACTGCAAAATTCTCTGGAATTAGATTCCTCTGCACGTGTGGAGATGTTTCCCAGTGTGAAGAGCCTGCAAGGAGGCACATCACTTCAGTCCTCAGCTGGCATGTACTGCTCACTGCTCATGTAATGCTCATTCTCATCAGAGAGTGCTTAGCCCATATGGACAGTATTGAGTCCAGCCCCAGAAAAGGCTGGATTTTTATGAACATTCCTGACTGACATTCTTTTGCACAAAGCCTTGGGATTAGAGCACTCCTAAGAGCAAGATCTGCTTTTTTTTTTTCCTTCATGTACATTTTATTAAATTGCATTTAATAACATGTATTATTTGCTCCGTAAAAAGCATAAACTAGCTTGGTACTGGGCTCAAAAATTTAGGCTTTTCTCTTCCAAAAGGCAGTGATTTTATCACAAATCAGATCTCTGGCTCAAGCTCGCTCTTTCTGTTTTTCCTTTCTGTTGGCTTAATGGACCTTGAGTTCATCTTGGTGCAACTTCAGCCAGCAGGTAAATGGATTCAGATTGTAAAGCTCAGTAAAATATGCCAACTCTTGGAAGGCAGATGGAAATTAAAGACCTAAAATCCAGGCTTTGGGACGTTTTATTGTCTTGGTGGCTTCTACAATTCAGCAATGTCATTCTTGTACTGTAGTGCCCAAAACTGGACACAGTAGTTGAGATTTGGGCTCACAAGTGAAGAATAAAAGGGAATGATCATTTCCCTCCTGCTATGTGCAGTCTTGGTAATCTGGCCCAATATGGGATTCAGCTCATGTGCCACAAGTGCTCACCACTGTTGGTTTGTTTCACACCATCTTAAAAGGGTGAATGAATGACAGATTCTCATTAAACAGGCCTTGTAGTTGTAGATACTAGTTTGTAATGGTCAAAGTCTTGTAAGTGTTCATTTTCCTGGGATAATTCCTGTGATTTTTCAATATCATTGTGATTAGAATTTCCTCTAGGAAATAAAATCAAACCTAACTTTTTAAAATGTAAAATTCAATTATGCAGCTTTCCATACAGCATTTTAAAAATGCCTCTTTTCTGCATGTTGTCTTCCCCAGAAGATTACTCAAGGGAAGTTAATGGATCAATAAGGCTTAATTATCATCAGAGAGCAGACATGATACATCTGTTATATACCTATAATTATATCAGTTTTCAGTATACAAAACTTTTAAAAAGGATATTCTACTTTGACATTAATGCATTTTCATACTCAAAATTTTACCATTTATTTACTGTAAAAGATTAGATAAGAGATAAAACTCATATTTTAAAATGGAATTAGCTTTAAGATCCTGATTGTTCTTCATTCTTCTGCAGGCAAAATGGTTGTATACCTGTAGGACACATGGCATTTGCTTTTATACTGATGACCAAACATAGGGAGAGGCTGAACTTTGCATTTACACTATTAAAAACTAGTTCTTTAGTACACAGTGATGGTACTCAAGTAAAATTGCTTTCAGTTTTTGCTACATAATTGTGTAGCTTCACTGTGCTTCCTTTTTCACAACTTTTCACGGTGATATCCAACTTACTTATTTCTTTAAATAACTGTACTGTTACTACTGTATAGTTACAGTAACATTTCTGAATGCAGAGAAATTGTGTACCTAAAATTATGCCAAAGTGTACTATTAGTACATGAAAATATAATTACATCACTAAGAGCTAGAGGTAAATGTTTTATTATCTTCAGCAGAGTATTTCTGTTTAAATTGTCCAGTATTTTACATTACTACTCATAATATGAGCTAAAATTGTATTGAACATTCCTGGTAAATACCCATTCATCTGCCTCGTGAGACTTACTTTATAAAAGAATTAATGGGGAGATGATGCCAATAAAAACATGGGAGAAAAAGATGATCAGGATAAGAAAGGGTGTTTGAGTGGACATTCAGAGACAGTTCTGAACCAACAGACTTTTAAAGAGTTATTTGAAAGTTATGAAGTCATGATATCCTGAGTGTTTATTCGTGCACACTGAAAGAAAACAAAAATGAAACAGCCTTAAGAGCCTAGGTCTGTCATGTTAAAAATCTAGCACATCAAAAGACAGGGTTGTTTTCCTCCTCTTTCCCATTTGTGATTGAGGGAAGGGCAGCAAGAGCTGACACCTCTGGATGAGACAGCACAGTCTGGGTTCCTCCATGAGAAGTGAAACCTCTCATTCTGGGCCTTGGGGAGCTGGGCAGGGCAGAGAGAAAACTGGTGTGGTGGACAGGAGTGGGAGAGCAGGTATAACTGAGGTTTAATGTGCAAGCTGAGGAAGTACCTGAAGAGAAATGGGATGTGGTAATATGCTCATAAGTTATTTTTTTCATTTGGATGGTCCTTTGCATATATGTTGTGAGCTGCTCTGTTTAGAACTGACATTCACATGCATCTGGAGAAACTGGTACAATCAATCTTAGAAACTTTAAAGCTAATAATGAAGGAAAATAAGAACTACTAATTATAACTACTTGGGCATCAGTTACTTGTGAGGATCATTTTAGAAGGTAAACTAAATTCTCACAATTTAATCATTGCATATACTCATGAACATTATCTACTTGTACGTGGACAAGTTCATATTCATAAATAATGGTGCTAGAAATCAGCTCTCTCCATGCAAATGCAATTAAACAGAGGTATTAGCATTACAGTCCCAGTTTCCTAAGGGGAGATTTCACCTCTGGAAAATAATGTACTGAATCTTTTTCCAAGGGAACCTAAAACTGACAAATAAGAAAAAAAGTCTTTTAAATGTTTGCCAATATTTTAAATGTTAGAGTTTGCTGGATTGTCATATTTGGTACTATTTCAGATTTTAGGTTTTTCTGCTGGGATGTATATTCATTTTTATGTGCAGAGTTAGTGCCACTGCACATAGGAACTGGTATGTAGATGACACTGTATTTGCACTCAGGTGATAGGTTTTGTGTATTATTTTTAGTATCTGTGTGCAGAAATGTAGTGCCACAAGCAAATGTGGCGTAATGCATTACAGGGAATGTGATGTTTGCTTTAATTCAGATAGTCTGAATTTAATTCAGATAGTCTGAAGACATTCTGTTCTACGTAATGGGCTCCTTCTGCTTCCATCCATCACACCTCCAGATTTAGCTCTCCTAAATGTGTAATTTAGAATGGGAATTTGAAGGTTAATTTCACAAAGACATCAATAGGTTTTCATTATGTTTTTCATGAAGAATTGTGTCACTAAGCACTAACATGTCCAATACATGTTAGTTTAACATGGATCTTTACTCTGCTGTTAATGTAGCTGTCCAAGTTACATTTGAATTACTGTAGGGAGCAGAGTGTTTCCAACTAAGTGTGAAGGTCACTGGGTTACAGGAGTTGTATCAACGGGTAGTTATATTTGAGTCAGTTGATAATTTGGGTGTTTTCCCATGGGTTTTTTTTCTTTGAGTGGTTCTTCTGCAGACGTATATATGCCATGTAGAGACCTTTATGGTGATTTGAAATTTTGTGCTTAATATCTTAGTATAAAATATGCTTATAAAGTTAATATTATCAGGAGGACCAGATATTGCTAATGCTGGGAAAATGTAATATTCTGTGTACTTTTTCAGACTTTTTTTTAATTAGGATATGTCTGCTTGTACAAAAAGGTTAATTTCTGTCTAGCAAACTGTATGCAGATTAGGAAGGAGCAGTCTGTTATTGCAAATTCATGAACTGTATCTACATTGAAAGTTCATCTTTTTTTTTTTCCTGCCCTTGAAAGGGAACAGCTAGAAATGACAGGACATATTGGAATGAAATCTCAGTTTCACACATGCCTAACAATGTTAAATCATTTTGCTCTTTCCACAGGATTTTAAGACAGTGCTGTCTTTCCCCCAGTACCCAGGGGAGTTTCTGCACCCTGTGGTTTATGCATGTACTGCAGTTATGTTGTTGTGCCTGTTTGCTTCCATTATCACCTACATTGTCCACCACAGGTAAGAATTCCATTTTAAACATGTATTAAATGGTCAGCACAACACTGGGGCACTTGAATTTTTAAAACCTTTACTGTAAAGATAAATAAAAATTATTTGAATTACTGTTGTATAATAATGGCAGAAATGTGATTTACACCAGAGACATAAAAATAAAGCTTATGTCAACCTTTCTTAAACTGTTCTCGAGCTTTCCTGACACATATGTTTAAATTTTCTGCACACTTTTCCTAAGATTTCTAACTCAACAGTTGAATATAAAACCATGAACAGTACCAAATTGATTTCTGGCAAATTCCAGTCCAGGAGCACTTTGGTCAGCCAAATATATTTGTTCACACTTGCCATATTGGCTTTTAAGACCAAGTTTGGTTGGAAGACTGGTAACTATCAATGGATAAAAGAAACTTTCTTTGTCTTCTATATTTTGGGTTCAGAAAACTTGTGTTTTCTTTGATATGAAAAATTCATATAAATGCCATTTTAACAACATACTTCTGGTTAAAGACCATTAGCAATTTAAAAGAGTAGGAATGTATTGTACTGTAGAAACTGCTAAATATTAATTATATGAAGTTAATGCAATGTCTTCTGATCTTCAGCTTCCATTTAATCCTTTAGAGATGTCTTGTTAAAGTTCTGCATACGTGAAGCTATGCAATAAGCCTTTTTCTTTTAGTACTCCACTTTAAATGCTTGATTTGGTAGAGGAAACTTTAAATCAGTAGACTTTTATGATTTTTACCATTTATTTTACCTTTTTATCATTTATTTCAATGCTATATAGGTCAGACTCTGTCCTATGGGTAGCTTGTTCTATAGGTATTCAAGAATCTGAGAATTTTATTCCATCAAATTAAGTGTTTTTCCCAAATAGTAAGTTGCATAATGAAAATGTTGGAGTTTTAATTTTAAAATGTGATTTTTTTTCAACAGCACAATCCGAATAAGCAGAAAAGGATGGCACATGCTTCTCAACTTTTGTTTCCATACTGCTCTCACATTTGCTGTTTTCGCTGGTGGAATCAATCGCATTAAATATCCAATTATCTGTCAAGCTGTAAGTATCTGTCTTAGTAACTCTTACTTACAGAATTGAAACTTGCAAATGATGATATTGGCTGTTTTTCTTTTCTTATGTTGTTCCTGGATCCTAAGATTTTCAAAATAAACTATTATAAGCATGTCTTTTAAAGGCCAGCACTGGGAATGTTCAGTGCTTGGCTGTCACATGAGTTTCTCTAAGAGGGTGATCAATGTATTAACTTCTCTGAGGCTCACATTGCCTCATTCTTGTTGGTTTTTGTTTTTTTTAAGAAAAGCCTTGAAAATCTTGATATTTTTCTGCTGTACAGGATAGTTGTAAACTATGAATCCAGAATACTTCTTTCACTTTTGTAACACATAGAGTTTGCCTGAGGGTGGCCCTGTCTGCCCTGGATGATCCCTAAGGAGACAGCAGACCAACTTGTGATTTATGGAGCCTTGTTTGCACTGCTGGGCTGTTTCACATCTCTTGACTCAACATTTTTGGGGCAAGAGTGCTGTGGCATGCACAGACAGGGCTGGATTCAGCTGCTCTGAATATAAAGGTTGAGTCTGTCCAGTATGTAAAGAAATTTCAGTCATCTTCTGTAATGTCTGATGAGGGCTTGTTGCAATTTGTTTGCCTTGACTATTTCTTCCTGATAGGTTTTGTAGAAGTGCACCAGGTCTCATGAATGTTCTTGGCATTTTCCTGTAGTAAAGCACTTTGTTTAGCCAATGTTCTCCTGGGGTTTTTGCCTGTCACTAATGCAGTTCTGACTGGCTTGAAGGGGTGTCGATAGCAGGAGTGAGGAGCCAACAGCAGAGTCATTGCAAGGCTTGCATAATTAGTGTAAGAGTTAATTAACACAGTTGTCCACTAGATTTTTTTTGAGAGAAATATCTCACAATATCTAGTGTATTGTGTCATAATTAATTTTTAAGTTCTAGCAAATTGAAATATCACCTACCATTGTCTTTGTCTGCAGTTTGCAAGTGATAGTAGCAGATTAGTTTGTAGGGCAGCCATGGCCATGCAATTACATGGTCACAAATGACCATCTGTTGTTTCAGTCCTTGTCTGATTATTTACTTTGCAGCTTGCATGGTAACAACGTGGTATTAACAGCTATAATGAAAAATTGATTGAGATAAATGTGTTATTAATAGCCTTTTGTAAGTAGTACATAAACTACAGGGGTATCTTAATAAAGAGCATTATCAGTGGCATCTGTCTCTTGCTATGGGATAGGGCCAGATCCTGAGCTGCTGAGAAACGTGCACACTTAAAGAAACTGAATTGAACCATCCCTGTGTCTGCTAGCCAGTTTAGTAAAGCTATTTATTTACCTGGTAATATGCTACATCAACAGACAGAATCATCACTGGTTACTATATAGGAAAGATACAAGTGACACAAGACAAAGACTGTCTTTTATTTTCTGGTAGAAATTGTCTGATGTAATTAGACAGGACTAATGGATGAAATTGTCCAAACAATCTAAGACAAGGCTCCAATAACTGGTAATAGAGGCTGAAAAACTGTTTACTTTGAGAATATCATACCCAGCCACAGATCCTTTCTTGCTTTCTGACAGCAAAGGTTTTCAAAATTCTGAGTCCCAGTGCCTGTGTCCTGTGATAACCCTGAGACAATTACTCTGTGATTTAATATCCAACATGCTAAAGCCCCAATATTAGGGCTTAAAATACATTTGTGGAAATGTTACTCCTTCAAGCAGAACTAAAATATTAGTTATACCACAGGTGTAACACCATCAGTTGCCATTCCACAGGTATCCTTCATTCTGCTAAAATTCAAAGCACAGCTTCAACCTGCAGCAATGCAATTTTCACATTTTATTTCCCGAGTGCATAGGGAAAGATTCCAAATGCAAGTATTTTTTGTCCTAGTCACTGAAATGTTGTATAAAATCCAGTCAACCACCACCTTTTGTATTGTAATTATCCCTAAAACTTCCACAAAAAATTGACTGCAGCATACTTACCGATGTGAAATAACTTTTATCCTTCAAATTTAAATGAAAAGGGTGCTTCTAAGTTAGCTTCATTTGGATCACCTTCTGTCTCTAAATGAGTAGTTACAGGTTAGTTTTAACATCAGGAATTAATGCTATGGAAATGGGCCCATTTTCTGTAATAGCTGGAAGAACCTTCAAATCCCCTTCAAGGCGAAACAGTGGCACAAAAAAAAGTCTTTTCAGAAGTGGTTGAACATTTATTTTTATGTGGAATCTAAAAATCTAAAATTCCCTCTTAAACCTGCCTATCCATTTCAGAGAGGATTTTGTGTAGACCTTTCACTTGCATATGTGCTCTGCAGTCTTTATGATTTACAAAGAAACGATCTTAGAGTGCCGGTCTGGAAGAGTTGATTGCATCTTTGCACATTTCCCGAGTGAATGAATCTACAAACTCTTTAGATTACCCTTGAATCTCATTCTGGGTGTCACTGAATGTTGGCTGTTGAAGAATCCAGACTCTTGAGTTTACTGGCACAATCTTTCATGCACGTCAGAGGTTGTCTTAGGAGCAGCAGGGGTAATCAGAGGCAGTACAGTACCAGAGAGGTGCTCGAGCCAGCCAGGGAGCCCTTCCATCTCCTAGTTAGGGCCTCAGATTAGTGTGCTTCAAAAGGCAGAAGGAAGCTCTCTCCTTTCATGTAAAGAATGAGAGAGAAGGAGACACAAGTGTGGCTGGATCACTCCCCATGTGTGAGAGGCATCAGTTCTGTACTCTCAAAGATTTCTGTTTCATGGCTCCTGCTTTAGAGGAAAGCATGATAGCCATGAGGTTATGGATGCTGGGGGATGAAATCATCAGTGAAACATGTTGAAGCATGAAGAGTGGACTTCTGGGCACAAGATTCGGGAGGCAGAAAAGTTATGGAGAGAGACAGAATCTTATTTATTTATTTATTGTAATATCACTCCAATCACATCTCCAAGGACCTCTACCTGGTTTATAAAATAAAAGCTTTCATGTAAACTTTGGCAAGGCTCAGGTCTTCCTTCTCCCTAATGAATGTCATATGTGAAGCTGCTTGTGAATTTGTTTCTGCAAAGCAGTAAATTGTCAGCAAGAAAGGCAAAGCCCGTTCCATACCAGCCAGCAGCCTACAAGTTCAACTCAGAAGTTCAACTTCTTGCTCTAAATTTTCTACCTGTGAAGGGAACATGGGGTTTTGCTAATGCTAAATGTTTAAAGATCATGAAATATTCACATCCAGTGGTGTTACAGACTGCAGAGAAATTCCTGAATCCCTTCATCTCACAGAAAAGAATAATTTTCATTGTAGGATTAATAGTTTAATCAGAATGTCCATGCAATATCTGTGTCCTCTTTAAATAGAACTGAATTAAGAAGTACAATCTTATCTGAAATATGATTACAACTAGGAAAAAAAAAAAGAAATTAAATTAGAAATTTTGGGAAAACAAAGAAAATTGTGTGCAACTTAAAGCTGATCAAGAGACTTCTTTGTGCCAAAATGCTTTGCATAAATGTGTACTCTGGTCATTACCATGGTAACCGCATCATGTGGAACTTAACTTATCTCTAGGGTACTGAGTTTTATTGAAGGAGCACAAACAGACAGCATCTTCTTATTGAAGAAAAGTATAATCTTCTATTCAAAAGGCTAGTGCTTATTCCCAAAGATAAGAGTTCTTAGAACACAGGACATGTAAAAAATGAGTACAAGAAAACAAGAAAATTTTAACCATATAACTGTTGATATTAAAGAGCTTTAGGTACAATGCTGTTTCCAATGCATATATCCTGGCATTTTTTCCTGTATCATTTGGCCTGCCAGTGGAAAACCTTTTTAAAAATAGGGGTCATCACTTCAATATTTCCAGTCATAATCCTTTATTCTTTGTGGAGAACTCCATACAATTTTACGTTAAATAAATAAATAAATAACAAAAAGGTTCTGCTAATAGTGAAAATCATTTTAAGATATCACTTTGATATTTAGTTTGTATATAGTTTTTGGCTTCTGAAGTTTTACAGAGGTAGGCACTCAGTAATGAGATACACACAGGTAAATTTGTACCTTGGACATTTCATGCATAACCGCAAGTTTACTAAGAGAGTCAAGAAAGAGTTTACTGAATAAAGACACCTTGGTCTTTCTGTTGAGCCTCATCCTTCCCTCCCCTGTCATGAGCTGCTCTCTGGTGTGTTTCTGCCATAGGGCCCAGGTGTCTTCCTAGCTTGAGAGAGTTAGAAAGAGCTGATCCCACTGGAGGGGACAAAGGACTTGCAGCCAAAGTCCATAGCACAGCAGTGAGGAGGATGCATCTCTGTGGCACTCCTGATGTTGGTGGGGAGACAAGGGCAAAGAAGAGGCAGAGAGCAAAGCCCAGCACTTTGAAACACTGAATTTTCAGTGTGAAGTGCAACAAGCATTTCTTTACTAATTATTAGTAGATGGATAATAGGAAAAATTCCAGAATTTAGTGTAACAGCTCAGTGCACCCTTCCAAATTCCACGCTTCTGCCGTGTCATATCAAACCTGTTGGTCATAAGGAGGTCCTGTACCTTCAGGATAAATCCTTGTTTCCTTCAAGCAAGAAATGCAAATTGTTGGGGGTTTGGTTTTTCGTTTGGTTTGGTTTGGGGTTTGTTTTTTGAGAGAGGGAGAGATGTAGATCATTAAAGAGTTAGTACAGAGGATGATAACATTTTTGTCTCCTTTGCATTTTTGATTTCTCCATATATCAGAAGTAACTCAGCTGCTGAAACATGTGAGAAACAGCAGTGTGATGCAGGTGTGGCATAGCCATGGTGTTTTCAGTCAGTTCAGTTGCCTCCTTGAAAGTTCAATAGAATTGTTTTGTTGTACTGTTTTTAGGTGTTACATTCATTTAAGTGGCTGATGATTTCTGTCTATATGGTTATATACGTTTTCAAAATTTCACATGTAGGTGCCTTTTAACATGGAATTAATTTCAACTGTTCCTATTATTACACATACTGCTCCTATTATTACACATACTGCTGTGGAAAACAATATATATAACAGGAGGGCTATGCTGAAATGAGAAAGAGATTAGGAGCTAAATATTTGGATTTTTTTCCAGTTCTTTCTCATTAGTTCTGCCTAATTTTCTTCCCCCTTTCTCACTGTCCTGCCTCTCCCCCCTACTCATGGTCCTGTTCAAGGCAACCCTAGAGAAACTCTGCAAGCTGCCTGTGAACCAAGCCCAGACAGCACCAGAGCCTGAACTGGCAGCGTCTGCCAGCTCATAATACACAGTTGTCTCTTTCTCTTATTTCTGCTTCTTTTACCCCAAGCAACAGCAGTGATGAAGGCTTTATCCTCCCTTGTCTAATGTGACAGACAAGACCCAGAGAAAATTGCAAAGGGCTTTCTGTTGATGATATTTGCAGCTATCTTCAAGTTTTGAGCTATAATACTAAATATAAACAAAATGCGTGGAATTTTTTTTCTTTACTCATCAATTGTTTTAAGTGGAGCAAAAGTGAACACTGGCTCAAATAAATCATAATAATAGATTTGTGTTAGCTTTATTCAGTGATTCTCTGTATTCCTTAAACATTTATGTTCTTTCCAATTATAGCAATATTTTACTTGTCACTGCAAAATGTCAGGTTATTGCTTCAAAGGTAACCTCATTTTATATAATCAGATGCAGACTTAGCTGATGTAATAAAGCACTGGAGATTGGATAAAATTCCAATTACTGCTCCCATAGTAATGAATAACAATTACTAACATAACAAAGATGTTAGCATTTTAGAGGTGTTTGTACTTTGTTTTCCTTTCAATGATAAACACACCAGTTTCTTGGAGTCAAAGTGATAATAACACTATTAGAGTTTATAATTCTTTTAAAGGGGAGATGCCAAAGCTGTCATTTATTTTTAAAATTCTGTAGTCAAGTTTATAATTTTCTTTAAATAAATCTGGATTTATCAGTGCAAATAGCACCGATGCCATTGCCAGAAACAACCTTGCCTATGTAAAGCAGAGAGGGAACTACAGCAGGATTTTCCTGAAAAGGTAAAGGAAATAGCATAATAGCAAGCAAAAATGCTGGTCTCTCATTAAATTTTAAATTGCATTCTCATGATAGGCTAACAAAGAGTGCAACACAAACTAAGAGTCACATCACTTTAAATCCAGGTGTAAAATGTTTTCATTAAACAGGTTCTTAGAAAACAAATGTTTTTACGTCTGCTTTTCCCAACATGGCTTCTGGTATTACAGATAATACTATCTGTGGTAGATTAAATAACTGGTTTTAAGTGCAACTGTTAGATGCATTTATAAATTCAATTTTAAATGTTTACTTGTGCCCTTATGAAGTAAGATTCTTGTAAAGCTCTTGTTTTACAGATCCATGAGTTGTTTAATTGTCTTCTCTTTTTTTAGGTTGGCATAGTACTGCATTATTCTACACTCTCTACTATGCTATGGATCGGAGTAACTGCCAGGAATATTTATAAGCAAGTCACAAAAAAACCTCAGCCATGCCAAAACAGTGACCAACCTTCTTATCCAAAGCAGCCACTACTCAGGTATGGAATATAAGTTATACTGTTTTTTTAATGTCTTCCTAGAACTTATAAATAAATGTTCACTCTTATTTCTGTATTCTCTGTTTTTCATAGACTATAAAAAGCATCCATAAAGAATTGAGTCATTTAGGTGTGTTCAAAAATCTGAGTATCTATTGTATGCTGATAGTTTACTCAGAAGATGGAAATATGCAGAATTGGTATTGGCTAAGTTCAGATCCTTTATCTGAACAAGAAGAGTTGAAATGTTTCCTGTAGAGGGAAAAAAATCCCCAAACCCAGCAACTGGCTTTCATCCGAGCCTTATTTAATTGCCAGAATCCGTGCTACAACGACCCTTTATCTCTTCTGCTGTACTTCTTGCCCACACTTGTATTGAAAGCCTAACAACCTGATAGCAGCCCTCCTCCTTGCCCATCAGAGATGTAATGCTGTTACAGGAGCCACTGGAAGGCTGCACTCCCTATCAGCTCTTGCTGGAGCAGACTCACAAATGTGTCTGGGATGGCATCACAGGTGTAAGACAGTAGGAGTTCCTGCCAGATGCCTCTGAGATGCTGAGACTCCAAGCCAAAAAAGTCAGCCTGCACAAGAAAAAAAAAAAAAATTAGCAAAACCTTACCCACAAAACCAGGAGTTACTGCCAAAGGCATGAGAAGATTATTTCATCTTTTTTGAGCTTAGCTATCAAAAAATTATGCATTAGACAAAGTTATGTATTGTCCCTATACAGATTTTGGAGGGAGACAGAAAAAGAACTTCCAGAGAACAATTCCTCCTATCTATCTTGGATGTTTGTGTAAGGACAGGATGAATTGCCTTATGGAGGTGTCTCTCTTTTCTGAAAAGTTTGAATGGTCAATTTAGCCTAAAGACCTCAGTTTTATAGTGGAGGTCAGGAAATGCAAATTGTACTTTTTATGTCTTTTCTGTGAAAAATCCACAGTGTATTCTTTTAAATAGACATAGATTATTTTATTTTAAATACAATATTTTTAGCAAGTAGTATTTATAGATAACTGTGTGATGTCACAACTTGTTAAAAGTCTATAAGATGAATTTAGTTTTTCCATCTAATTCTGCAGTCAGATTTTTACTAACATGATTTTAGTTAGAGAACTAGCTAATTTTCTTCTTTTAAAACATTTTATTTCTAGAGATGAAATTGATTAAAGTTAACATAAAATGTGCATTGGGATGAGAAGGAGTGCCATATTGATTGCTAGCTTTGTTAGGTGTAAGCAAGAGGACAGCCTTTCACTGACAGTGCCTGACTTTGCTAATCCATGATTTACTATACCATTCTTCAGAGATGAGAATTTCACTCCTTCAGTTACCAGCTCATGGCAAAATGAATAATTGCCAATTTTCAAATGCTGCAGTGTGACTATTAAGGTAGAAAATTGTTACAAGTTACATGGACCCAACATAGTGTATGTTCTTCAAATTCAAATCTTGTTTGAGTTGGAAAACAGTAGACAGGTTACAGGAAAGATTACTCTAATTAGAATCTTCGTTGTACCAGTCATGTTGAGGCTCCCAGACAGTGAAAATAAATAGTAGCTATCTTAAATTTAGCAATAGAAATGATAAACCACCTTCTAGCTGTAAGAGAACATGAGTATAATTGTTTAATAGCTAAGTAAAATTATTCTAAGCTATTTTTCTCACACAGGGCACCATGTATCTTAGAGACACAGGCACTGAAATGTCTAATACAATTTCACAGTTGTTAGCACTAGATTCAAAACAGTAAGGATCAGTTTCACTTGATGTAGAAAACAGTCATAGTTTATGTAAAATTAGTTAGTATGTTAATATGTAAAATTAAGAGTCACTTTAAGCAAGAAAATGCTAAATGCTAAACTCATAATTAGTAGTTGTTTGTTCTTTTAGAATGATAATGATCATTTGGAGGGGCATTCTACCTTTCCTGGTTTTAATAAAATTAAAGTGTGAATTATTCTTTGTCATAATATTCCCATAAAATCCATTTAGGATGCTCACATTTCAATGCAGTCATTTATAAGAAATGTTTTAACTAAACATGTTCTTGTGTCTGTAAGCCAATGACAGCCTTTATACATATTGTTCCTCAGGTACTTAAGGAAAACATCTGAGTTTGGGTGAGGGGGTGTTAATTTATCTCCATCTGACATCAGTAGATAGGTAAATTGTATAAAGTTTATTCAAATGGGGATGGAGTTAGGCTTTTTTATATGTCAGGACTGTCAATGATAGGAAGCAAATGATACAGTCTATGAGACACTTTTAAACAAGACAGTTTTTCAGTGATCCTTCTCTGTAGGCTTGGTTTTGTTGAATACAAATATTTGAATGTGTTTGGCAAGACCTCTATGCTCAGCTGTTGTCCTTCAGTCTTCTTTGGTAATGGTTGTATTTGATAGATGGTGTTTCCAGTTCACATGTGAGTGGTTTTGTGTTCCTTATACATGCTGCATGAGACATAGGGGTATCTTCTGTGAGTCAGCAAGTGGGGTCTAGTGCCAAAAACCAGCATATTAATCTATCATGTGGAATTTACCAAGAAATCATAAAGACTGTCTCACCACATTTGCTTCACAAAGCTTGGTCCATTCTAAAAAGTAGCTGAAGTAGTGAAAATAAATGCCAGAATATCTAAAAGGAGACCTTACCTGTTAGTAGAAAAGGATGTAGGCTTGTAAGAGTTGCTTTGGTTTCTCTGCCTGCTGTTTGAATATTTATTTGCAGGAGCAAGACGAACGAGGTGCCCTTGATCTTTTTCTCCTACTTTTCTTTGAGCTGTAGCAATATATGCCCTATTATATAAAGCTGTGGTTCTTTATAAGTTTTCTCTCTTCTAGATAGAGTGATCAAATTTGAAACATTTTTGCAATCTAATTTTACTCCACGGCAATATGGTTTTAAATATTGCCTTTTTTGTATGTTAATCATGTATTATGAGATACATTATGTACACTGTACATTATACAGTATATATATTTTATTATATATATTATTCATGAATATATATTATCTGTTAATTACAGAGTTAAACCCCTGAGGGCCGATCACTTTGATGACTGGAACCAACTGTAACAATTTTGGCATTTTTCTCTAAATGTGCCTGGATGCTAATGAGGTGGATCAAATTAATGCATCATTGAGTTTTGTGTATTGAAATTCTGAACCTTAGCACTTCAACAGATAATGAAATTACTTCCTGTAAAATATACTCCCTGGTATTCTTAATAGAAATAAATAATTCTATCTGTTCATCCTCTGTGGACATTTGTTAAACCTGGCAGAGTTTAGCTTCTGACTCATCTGAAGGCAGATTTTGCCAGCAAAGGCAAAGGGGCATGCAAGATTCAGCTATTACTGCATTGTACAAGACTTCTTATCAGCCCAAGCTGAGGCACAGGTAATGTTATTTTTTGTGCCTGCTACGTGCATGCATTTTTCATGCGATGCTCTGCACACATACAGATTAGGCAGAAGCACAGACCAGCAGAAAATACTTCTAAAAGCTATTTCTTTCTAGAGTGACAGAAAAAAAAAATCAGATTACTTTCATTTTTAATAAGATAACTAGTGAGCACAATTGCATTCTAAACATTTAAAATAAAAAATAAATAAGCCGCCAGCTGGGCCAGAGATTGGTGATAAGGAGACAGATAATTAAGTTTTATCTCAAGGTTAGGTACAAATATATCTCCTAATGTTCTCCCCACCTCTTTTATTCAATGAATGTCTTGCAAGATAACTAATATGGCAGTCTTCAGATTACAGAGTCCAATATCCCATATCTGTCATGAAAAAATATCGATGTGCATAAATAAGGTTGCAGACGCACCAGCGAAACGGATAACAGTTGATGTTCCTGTCTCTGTTGAACTTCATCTTATTTTTAATGTAACATATTTTGATAAGCTTTTTTAAATGTTCTTTCTAAAGTTGTGGGGCTGTTGGGAAATGTACCTCATGCAGTGCTTTAGAAAAATTGTACACCTAGCTGTAGTAGCAGTTTCAGAATGGATTGTGCTCTTTGCTTTGTATTCAAAGTAGTAGCCTTAGTACTATGGCTAAAAAATCACAAATGAGGCAAATTGAAACAGTTTTCAGCAGAACATGTGGAGTACCTACAGTCAATACCACTGGCTTCAATTCCCTTCTCTTATTGTTTTCAACCTTAAAGAATTTTAAGAGTTAAGACTAATTTTTAGAATGAGAAAGCTGATTACCTGTTTCATATCTTTTGAAATGTCTTAACTGTCCTTTAAACCTGCAGAGAGAGCAGACCTAGAAGTGCAGTGGTTGAGAGTGGGAGTCCTTTGGTCAAACCATACTAATCTGCTAATGGAAGTTTACATGCAGATGTGTGTATGGGCGTCAGCTATTCTATATGAGCTTGTATATCATGTACATGTGTATCATGTATGTTTCTGTACATCATACATGCACTTCCAGAGTACAGAGCAATGTCTTGAAAGCAGCAATGAGAGGGGTCTTCCTAGTGAGCTGTGTTTGTGGTGCAGCGTTGACTAACAGCCTTGCAAGATGTGGTAGTAGCAAGATGCTGCTCTTGCACCGTCCCCCTCTCCTTGGGAATGTGGCAGCAGCTCTTCACCTTCATTCCCAAGCTCACTATTTCCCTCAGCTACCTAAACATTAATCAGTAGCACCCAGTAGCTAAGTATCTTTGAGACACTGAATTATGCTAAATCCTTTCACTGCAAAAAGGGAGAAACCACACTAAACTTTCAAATACAAGGAAATCCTCTCCTTGTGTTATTGCTGACTAGTCCTGTAATGAGGCTCTAGCCTTACAGTGAGGAGATTTTACAGACTTGCATGATACCACAGGGGTCACAGCTCCACTTAGTGCTTTGTTCAGTGTTAACCCTGCTTGTCCCAGGATGAACATTTAGCTGCTTGATCTGAATTTTGACAAGCTGGAAACCAACACATGGGCACAAATGGATCTATTGCTGTGTTTGCCTAACTGCTGGTCCTGA